AAAAGAAAATTTCAAACACGCAACTACCTCCTTTGGAAAACTGTTGGGAATAAAAGGCTTTGGTTGAAAGAAGACAAAGTGAGGCAATAATTGAAGGGACTTTCGGTCTCATCCCGTAATAAAATAGAAACAAGTAGATAGATAGTGGAGATGGGAAAGTTGGACTTTCAGGACGGACAGCTTGTTCTATAACCCTCTATGTTTGGACGATTCTTTTCTTTTCTTTTCTTTTTAATATTAATAGCCTTGCAGCCAAGTGCTAAGAGAGTAATTGGCATTCAATATCTATCAAGACTTACTATTATGACGCACCCAACCTGTATGCTTGTGCATTTATCAACACTTAATATATTAAATGTTCCACAAATTGCCTTTCCAAGGCCAGGTCATACAAAACACCAATGTCTTTTATCATGTTCTACCAAAATTAGAGATCATCTGAGACAAAGTAGGCCTCATGGATATCACCAATACCACTACAAAATTAAAAACCCTAGAAGCTATACATTTTGGATAAGATTAGAATCCATAATTCTCAATACTTCAACAAAAGCAGCATTATTCACTGTTCAGTTACTTGTATGTGCAACTTGTCATTCTCTATTGCTTATTTGAAGAAATGTATCTTCTGGGTTTTACTTTGTGGAGAAGCAGTTGCTTCTGCAAAAATATGTAAAACTCTCATCATATTCTCCTAACACTTATAACACTCTGTCTCCTCTGTCCTCTCCTTTTCGGCTTTGTTTAATTTGATGCGGTTTGGGCGTTTTTCTGAATTTTTTGTTTTGAATTGGAGTGGGAGTTTGCGATTTTCTGATGGGCCGATCTTTCTAGGCCCTGGTTAATGTTAGGCCTAATCTGTTCAGGCTAAGAGGGCCCAGATTCATTTCCCCTTTTCTAGTCCGTACTCTCTTTTTTTTTTTTAAATAAATTGCACCATGTCTATGCCAAATTGCCAATCTTTTTCAAGTTTAATGAATAGCCATTAGTTATTGCTCTTAATTAAATAGATTAAATATTTTTATTACAAGTAATATCAATTATTAGTTATCAAATATTAGTATTTATTTTATTTAAATTGAAAAATTATGTTACAATCACTTATGTAATGAATTATAATACATAACAATTAAAAGAGAGAAAGTCCCTTGATATTAATATTAAGTCTTCTCTTTTCTCTGTTAAAGATCTTGATATTATAGTCTGTTACATAACTAATTATAATACAAGATGCTAATATTTAAAAATCTACTGCACCAGACAAATAAAAAGGCCTACGAACCTCGTATAATCTCAATCGGCCCTTGTCATTATGGAAAATATCATTTGATAGGCACGAGAGTGCGCAAAATGCATTATCTAAAAAGGTTCCTTTGAAGAAGACAGGAGAATAGTGTTGAGAGATATGTGGTGGCTTTGTATGAAATGGAAGGAAAGATTCGCGAACGCTATGCAGATCGGTATAATATTAATCGGACGGATTTATATTTATATTTATAGTACTTTTTTAAAGAAATACTAACTACACTATTTTTTCACCACTCTACATAATTTGTTATTAATTCATGTGTTGGATGATTTTTATAATAATATAAATATTTAAACTTTTTACTTAATCTCATGATAAGTATTAGATAAATTTAAAATTAAATAATTTTTTTGGAATATAAAAGTAAAATTTGAACCTCATACCTCTATTAAAATAATATTATCTTTTATAAAATATAAGTGGTTACTTGATTCACAAAAACTTTTCAAATTAAATAATTTAGTGTTTACACCCATTTTTGCAAAAAAATAAAATGGTGCCACATGTCATCCATGTTGGCAAGAATTTCATTGGTTGAAAGTTGTTGGAGTAAATCTCTATGGATAAGGTTAAGTGGTTAATTCCATAACAGCAGCAAAGCCATTCATTTGTTGCGAGCTTCTAGGAGGATAATTGGCAACATCAACAAATTAATCAACTTGTTTCAGATATCACGCTGCCTTTGGTTTCCAAGATTGCTGCCGCAGATCCCCACAATGCTGCCAAGGTGCTATAAATACCTAATGATAAGATCAAGCAAGAGAACAGCCTCTCACACAACTAACTCAGTACTATCTACATTTTAGTTTTACAAGCAATGTCTTAGTTTAGATCCAATTTTCTCAAACAACTTTCCTAATTTAGTCTTTAGCTCTACGCTACCATTAGTTTTAATTCTGATTTTTGTTATTTCGTTATAAACATCGCCACTCGACATATTTAGTTTTCTGCAATTCAATTTACTGCATTTTGCCCCAAATTCATCTTCCTACCTTCTTTTAAATTTAGTTTTATGCTTTAGTTTTTATTTCATTTTCTACATTTTCATGCTTTCGCAGCAACATCACACTTTCCTTCTGTAATTTAGTTTTCCTGCCATGCACTCTCTTTCTTCTCCTTTCCTTTATTTTCCTCTTTTATTTTGATCAACAAACTAACATTTCGGCCCTAGTTGTGGGAAGTCCCTGATGGTTTTCCAGGGAAATTATTTATGAACCTTTATGTAGGAATGCACCCTCGTTTCTGCGACAATCGTCTGACCAAAGCACATCTCATAATTTATTGAACCGGTGCTCTTCCATCGACTAGCAGCCAAGTTCAACGCTTGGAAGTATTAAGGGTCACCGGGAATCCCTCTTTCTCACTTTGAGTAAAGTGAGTGGCACGCCTTCGCAATCTTATTTACCACGCAACAAAAAATGAAGATTTTGGAGACAACACTTAGTTTACTATATTAATTAATGATAAAAATATACTTACCACATGAACCATTCATATGGTACTCAAAGAGAAAGGAACTTTCAATTTGGACTGACAAGAAAAAATTGTCAATCTGATGTGGAAATTCTATTTCTATTTATTATTATTAAACAATTAGAGCTCATATTTCTTTAAAAAAAGAGAGAGAGAGCTCACTCGTATAATATAAAAAGCACTCGTTGATTATAAAAGTGGGATTTTCAATCTGAAAGAACTAAAATTTAAAAAAATAAAATAAAATGAAAAAATTGGTTAGGCCTTGTTCATAAGCTCAAGAAAAAAAAAATTTAATTGGGGAAGGCCCAAAAGGGTAATAAGCGTAACAAGCCCTCTTATACGGGCTAAGTTTGTAAAAAGGCCCAAATATTTAACTGGGCCGGACCACATAATGAAAAATCGTTTTATAGCCTGAGGCCCTGA